GTTACATGAAGAGGTAAACCACGAAAACATCCCTCGTTTAGCCTGTCGGCAAGGGGACTCTAACCCATGATGCGTTTACTACTGAGAATATTTTGCGTCAGCACTGTGATCGATGCGAGCCGGGTGCGGAATTCGTATCGACTAGCCATTGTTGGGATTCGAACTCGATTCCCCTCATTGGAAGACGAACGCTCGATCCCCTGAGCCACCACGGCTCTAAGGAGGGGTTTGTCATGATTTTCTTGCCTAAGCATGGGAAGATGGTTTGTGATTTGCTTATTTTTCCCAACAAGAGGGGAGGGCGAATCCAAAATCGTCAAAAACATGCTATATGTAATATGTGAACGACTCCAAAGGGATCCCATTTATTAATTAAAGAAAAAACAGTCTTTTTACAACAAATATTTTATAAAGAAATTTCATTATATTTTTAATACAACGAATATTTGATGTAAAAGTTAAGTTTAAGGCAAAAAATTTCTTTTTATAATTATGGAGCTCAAGATCTTTTACCGTAGAAAGGAAACATAAGATTCGTAAAGAATTTTCTACACAAATTTTTTTTAAAAATCAATTGAAAAATAGATCTGGTTTTATGCAACGTAGCATCGTTTATTTGAATTTAATCCTGGAATAAGGTAACTGCAGCAAAATGTTAAGGCAGAAAAATAAATAAATAAAATAAAAATAACTAAATAAAATATAAATAAATAAAATAAAAAAGCTAAAGAGGTTGTAAACCTGAGAGGGATGATGAGTTATGGGAAGGGGTTTGTGTTTTACTTGTTTTTGTAGACAAGACTAAAGTGCGAAACTGCCAAAAACATTCTTACGTAATATGTGAACGGTCCCTCCGCCTATAAGTATTTTGAGCTTGTTGCCAACAGCTTAAAATAAAATCAGGCTATTCGAGCAATAAATGATGGACTTTCTTTATTGGCCTAAAAAGTGTTAAACTAATTAGAAGGTACTGAAGACATTTCTAGTTAGCTTGACCCATTCGAAAATCATTCTTTCCTCCCCTTAATTTTTTTTTCTAAAATGCTTCCAAATATTTCTCTAAGCTTGATGAGTAGTAAAACATATTTTTGAAAATAATGAGTCCCATAGCAGATCCAAAATCTACAATGGCTCATAAATTTAAAAAATAATTGCCATAAATTGCGATCAACACTGTCCACGCGGCTTTACTAAAGACGCATAAACAAAGCCGGTGCAAAGTCTGTTTTGTTTTAAAAACCGCCCTAATAAAGATCCCCATTTTATGAACAAAACATTCAGAGGGGTGAAGGGAGGAAAAAAGTTTATAAATCTCAATACATTATATCTGTACTAGCGGAAATCCACCCATATTTCCCCCCCCCCGACATCCACCCACGCTTTCGATTGAAGAAAGAACTTTATGCCCATCTTTGTCATTCCCCCCCTTTTTCGGTCCCTGTTGATGTATTAAAACTTTAGGAAGCTTCTTGTTTGCTAATGCCATCGTTAAAAAAAAAAGTCCTCCGTCCAAACGATGATCGAAGCGGAGGTGTGTGTGGGTGGTGGCAGGCGGGGGTGGGACGGAATGAAATTATGGTGATCGCGTGGTACGACCTTTTGAATGGGAAGTGAGAGTGGTGATAAATGGGTGAAGCTCTCCTCGCCGAATTGTAGTATTAAGGCGCAGGCGATAAATAAATAAGCGCGGGGGTGTAGGAGATTGAAGAATTTGCATTCATCACCCCCAATCTTTTCTGGGTTTTATTTTAAGTTAATTTTATTATTGTCATACTCTTATTTATATCTGTCGGTGAGACGAGTTAATGGGATTTTCTCCCTTTTTAATTTTTTAGATTGAAAACTGAACTTTAATGACCCCCCCTTTTTTTTTTACTGCTTCCTCGATTGCTTGTTAATAAGTGTATTTAAAAGATGTTTTTGTTGCGTTTTTAATGGTGTAATTTAAAAATATTTAATAGCCACGCGTTAAATACATTTTTTGATTTGTTTTGTGAGTAAGAATGCTGTATTAAATTGTTAACTGAATATGTTAACATTTTAATAGAGGGAATAAACTTTGAAATTAAAAGTGTTTTTGTAACGCTTAGTCATTATTCATGATTTAAGAATTGCCGTGATATTGTTTCCTCTGTTGTTCTTCTGTTACATTACATTTTTAATATTTGAGAAAATTATTTTTTTTAAAGGAATGCCAAGTTATATTTTTAACTAGCTTAACAAGACTATTTAACTGTACTTTAATTTTTGTTCGAATGTATGAAATTTTAAATGCTGATTTTCAATAATTCTCCAAATTAATTATGTATAAGTTAAAAATGTCTATTCTAGTCGAAATAATCATTTACGATTTCAAAAATTTTTTTGGATATTAGAGTACTATTCTTTTCGCTTAAGATTTTGAATGAGGCAGTTATAAACGAAAAAAAGTGTTTCGTGAACAGTTTTTTTTTTTTTTCCTCCTCATTTTCACCATTAAACAGGAGAAACTTTGAACAAATTTTTATGCGTGTCCTTTTAGTTCCTTTGAATTAAATGAAACCAAATCGATCTGACTAATAATTTAGAAGTTATGATGGTTTAATACATAAAAAATATAGCTTTTGACTAAGAAATAAAACTCTTAGACTTTTGAAGTCGTTTTTTCTACAGACCTGTTATTTACCTTATTTGATTCAGCGAAAAAAAAATACTTAGGAAAAACATGTGCAATACAATATGCAATATCTCACTCTTCCAGATGCAATATTTAAATATGCTCTCTTTTTAAAACAGTCATTTCTGCATTTTTTAGAACACGCCTTTTTTAAAATTGTGCAATTAATTCATTAAAATTATCCATAATTGCTGGATGTGACAGCAAGAGTAATATTTTAAATTCGGAAGTAAATAAATAAAAAAAAAAGGGGGGGAGGATAAATGTATTTTTAAATTTTGAACATGCCGAATAAGAGTTAAACCTTCGTCATAAAGATCTCTTTAAAGATAATCCATAAAGTAAAATAGCTTCAACTAAAGCATCTTTCCAATTGATGGTTTTATTCTTATAACTGCAAACGATCTTTCGACGTATCGTCATTTCGAAGAAAAGGAATTTACTCCCCCATTGCTTCTCTTTTCGGAAAGATGATCACAAAATATAATTTCCCCACATTTTGATTGAACGACCTTGGGGGAATTCCGTGTTGGGGGGAGAGCACTTATGCAGCTGCAATCAATGATCTGCGCCCCCTCTTTTTTTTCCTCCCCTATCCCCTTTCACTAATCGCGACTGTGCGTGATGGAAAACAATCGTCTGAGCACTTGCGGCTATGCTCACAAAATGAAGGAGTTGCTCAAGAGATCATTCAGAATAAAATGACTCTTGGTTTTATCGTTGCGTCGCTTCTCCCTAGATGTCGCCACAAGTTCTATTGGTTACTGACGTTCAGACATCGATTTTCCGTTTGGGAAATTTTTTTTTATTGTAATTGATTTCTCATGCTTTTTCTATTCTTCGCGGGGGAAAGATGAATAAGTTTAGTTGTAATTTTATTGAAATTTTGATGTTGTTGACATTACAAAACCTCGTTTTACATCTTTCTTGAAATCATTCGCTGTTTCTGACTCTTGTTTTGAGTGTAATCTCTTAAATAAAATTGACTTTTCATCAAAATAATAAAAATTTGATTTGTAAAACAAATGGTGTGGGGCGATATTTTTTTGCTTTCATTGTGGTAGAAAGGGGAAATGAAAAAGACTTTTTAAAAATAAAAAAAAGAAACAAAAATATTATCAAAAAAAGTTGAGCTAGTTTTAAAATTCAAGAGTTGCCCAAAGTCTGTAACATAATTAAGCTCAATTATATTGTTTTTTTTTATGTTCTTTGTGTATGTCGTGTATTAACGTTTTATTTTTATCACTGTTGTCAAACATCTTATCCATGTTATAAGAATGTGCGATTTTTAATGGTCTGTTCTTTATTTTGAATACTCTAACTTTTTTTAATCCATTGAAAAAGTCAAATTCAACGACCAAATCAAAAATCTTAAAACAAACTTTCCTTTGCAAAGACGTTTTTTAACTAAGCTAAATCGCAAAACAGAAAGGAAAACCTCCCAGTGTTATTTTGCATTTTAGAACATTCTAGGTCGACTTTGTGATCGGTGCAGGCTAATCCCAAATTTAGCGGGGGTCACCCATGCGACAACTGAACACTCTATTCTCCGCCCCCACATTTTCGTTTATGAATATTAATTGTTAATCAAACAACTTGATACTCATTTGCTTCAAAGTACATGTTGAAAACTTGATACTCATTTGCTTCAAAGTACATGTTGAAAACTTGATACTCAAATGCAAAAAATTAACTTTCGAAAATCTAATACTCAACCTCATAAAGAGGTCATAAAAGTTCTTATAATAAAAATGGCACATAAGTATGTATTTAAAATGTGTGATTCGATACTACATAATTCATGTTAAAACTTGATACACTGATACTTAATTGCGTAAAAGTTCATCAATAAAAACTTGATACCCAACTGCAAAAAATTACATTTCGTTAACTTATGCTCAACCGCATAAAAGTTCTTAAAATAAAAATGTGTTATTCGATACCACATAATACATGTTGAAAACTTGATACACTGATACTCAATTGCGTAAAAGTACGTGTATAAAACTTGATACCCAACTGCAAAAAATTACACGCTGAAAACTTGATGCTCTGTTACATTGATAATGCATGAAAGTGAATAATACTTGATACTCAACCTCATTAAAATTTATGTTATAAATTTGATGCACAACTGCATTAAAGTGCGCGTCGAAAACTTGATACCATGATACTTAATTATGAAAAGTATGTGCATAAAACTATATATTCAACTTCCTGTTAAATATTTGATACTTAAACAATCTTAAATTAATTATTTTCTTCCATTATAATCTTTCTACAATATTGTGTATGTGTTACATTTTATTTATCAACCATAAATTATATTTTTATGTTTTTACAGATATTGGAAATAACATTGCTGGTTGCTGATTACATGAATGCAATTGGACGGAGTGGAACTTCTTTAGGATCGTTTGCCCGATTAGATAAAATCAGATCCTCCTCAAAATTACGTACATCGGCAGCTACCACTGTAGATACTTTTTCCCGCGCACCCCACGAAAGTTCTGTCCCTTACGATCCCCATAAAGCTATGTCAACATCCACTGAACTGGACAACAGGCGAGGCGCTTTCTGCAAGAAACGAGCCGGTAGTGACTGTACATGATTCACAGCCGACTTAAGCACCCCCTCAATTTCTTTCTCACTATTTATTGCTTTTCTTTGATATCATTGTACAGACATGCTGTGTACATCGGTGCAATAAAAAGAACTGTACACGTTGGAAGTCCAAATGGAATCATGCCAAACGAGCCATGCTTTTCTTTTTATGTTCTCTTTGAATGTCACTTGAATCTGATTATGAAAACTAATGAAATTGGAACAAATCGGTGGATTTATTTGGTGAAAACTGAAAACTCGAAATTTCCTTATCTCGTATTGTTCTCTAAATACGTGTTTTTATTCTTTAAAATATTACAGGGTGTTCTGTAAGGACAGTTCTTAATATATATATATATATTTTTAGAATCTTTGTCAAAAATTATACACCACTAGCGATAGAAAATTAATATAGTCTTTATAAATGAAATAGGTAATTATTTTATATTATTTATTTTATTAATATTATTTTATATTATTAATTTTATAGATAAAATTGATTGTCTTAGTAAATAAAATAGATGTCTCAAAGTTATGCCACTTTCCTACTCTTCACTCATTTCCCCTCTCCGATACCATGGTTTCGGCAAATCTTACTTCTTTTCTTTTTCCTCATGCCATATTTTCCAACTTCATACTGAAACGAAACCTATTGACGAAACCTTAGTAACGGAGAGGGGGAAATAGTGTCTAAATCGTGTAACCTTGAGACCTCTATTATATTTATAAACAGTATAACTGATCACAATTGTGGAAGATGGGTGCTCGAACCGCATGTTTGATTAATCTGAAGAATCACGTGGGCTGAAAATATCAAAACCAGTTTGATTGCCGGAAGGAAACAGAGAAGAGTAAAAGGCGATTATTAAAACATTTTTAAGTTTAAATCTACAAACAAACAGATTTTAATGCACCCTCTTACTCAAGTTGTAATTTTTCAGGTTTCTAAAAAGTTTTTATTTTCTCTTAATAGCATCATTTTGCGCCCCCCCCCCTTTACGCCGTACTTTTTGTCTTCATTTTTGACGAAGAGTCTTAAAAACATATAGAAATAATTAAAAAAAAAAAACACCCTATGTAATCATTATTTAAGAATGAGTTTCCATTTTTAAGAAAACTAATTTTAAAACTATTTTAATGACTCTCTTTTGAATCTTGTTGCCATTTTATATTATAGTTTTGTTTGTAATTAATTGCATATTTTTTAGCACTTACATCATGCTTGATTAGTATTTTGTTTCCCCCTAGCTCTTGTTTGATTTTAAATGTTACTTAATATCATGCATATCATCATTTTAGTATAGTTAGAATATTTATACTTTAACAAATGTATAGTTGATAAAATTTATTTTTAAACATTATTTAATTATTTTGTCAATGATATCTTGTTTTGCTTCAGATTATCGATGACAAGTTTTTCTTTCGTATGCAGCTGAAATCGGCAATTTTAATTTAATTTGAGCTATTTTACATTTTTTTAAAATGGTAATTGTTGCAACTATATTTAAGTTTCAATAAAATGTTTACTTTTACGAACATTTTGTGTGAATAATTCTACAAAGTTGTATACATTATTTTTAGGTAAAAAACAATTGGTAAAGGAAAGTTATGGTGGATCATATATTGATATGTTCGCTGTCAAAATTTAAAAAAAAGACCTGTTTCGAGTCTTGAACACAACGCGCCTTGTCAGAATGATGCAATTCACACTAGGGTGCGCTGCAAGCTCTTTACTGCCTATACTTCCGGGTTACTGTTTCCGGTGTATTGTGGCTCACGACTTGATCATTGCGCTTTGAAACTCACCAGAATCACTAAATATCTTATGAATTACAGCAAATTTGACTTCAGAAATTATATAATTTATTTCTTTTATTAAAAACAAAATTATCTGTTTGAAAATATCGCCTGAGCGAATACGCTGTAGTAAGTAGCTGTATACTTTCTAACCGGAAGTAGAGCAGGTCGAGAGCTCGAGATGGTTGTTGTTTACATTTATATTGAAAACACCATCCACACTAAGCCAATCTTACTTAGTACCCCATTAATTTCCCTTCCATTTTTTTTCGTTGGCCACAGTGTATATTCTTGCTTCAAACCAATTTCTGTTTATCATCATTCACTTCCTGACAAAGAGCGTCGGTTTCGAGCGCTTAATACTTGTTGGCATCCTTCATTTATTTTGGAGCAAATGATTTTTTTCTTTCCGTAGAGGTTTTGAGAATGTAAGAAATAAAACTCATAAATCTGATCCACGTTTTTGTTCTAACCCTTTAATTAAATAACTATAAATGAAAATATGTTTAAAAAAATTATTCTAGGGATAGATTATTGCAAATTGGAAGCTCCCCATTACTCTAATTAAACGACTTAAGTATCTTTCGGATATTAGATTTTGTTCCAACAATTAGGAAAAACAAACTTATTCTGCGTTTCATTTAATTTTTAAAAGCTTACTCTAATAAATTTCAGGTATAATTTATCCATAGAATTATTATTCATTTCACAATAATACAATGCAATACAGCTCGATTATAATTAAATTACCCAATTAAATATACATGTGAGTATATCTTAATATTATTGATTTAATAAATTGTCCATAAGTTGTTTTTGTCTGGTGCTAAAATTGTTCCTGTTGTATTTTTGTACTGTTTCATACCCATCTTGTTTTATTGTTCCACTGAATTTAGCCAAAGAAATTTTAAGTACAGGATTTTCGCTTTGATGCATAGCTTTTTCACCTAAATAAGTTTATTTAGTTCATTTTATTAAAAAAAAATTGTCTTTCCCTGGGAAGAGTACAGCTAATGTATCTGAAGTACTTAAATAGCTTTAAGATTTTCTTTAATATTATTATGAAATTAATATTTTTTAAATTATGTTTCTTTTAAGTTTTATATTCTTATGTTAAATCTGAGTTTTTTTGCTATTATTAAAATCAAGCTAATAACTTAATAGTTTGAAAAAAACGTTAATTTTGTATTTATTTACTTTTTTTTTATTTCGAAACCTTAGCATACTCCTTAATCTAACCATGTCACTAATAACCACATTTTACCATTTTAAAAAAAAAAATGCCAGAAATATAACTAACCGCATTTTCTGAAAGGAAAAAAAAGAATTTTCTGAAATGTGTAAACGGTATTATAAACAGATAAAGTTTGTATAAAATAAACATAATTTGCTCAATAATTGCTAAAAGGAAATTGTGCGAAGTTGAAAAAATGTATCCAATATTTAAATTTTTTTTTTTTTTTTTTTTTTATTATTATTATTTTTTTTTTTAATTCACAATTATCCGTACAGGTGACATCTCTACAAGTAACAAACTCATATAAATGTGAGTTATATAATCAACCATTTATGATTATTGCAGTTGAAAACGAAATTTAAAATCTTAGAAAAAATTTAAAAAAAAAAAATTAGGTGAAGATAAATTTTAAATGACAATCCAGATTTGGTTCAAAAATTTTTTTAACTCCGGGTAGAGAATTTTGTTTCGGGCAATTACATAAAAGTTGACCCCTCTACTTTTATGTAACTTTAAAAAAACCTATCAACATACAATGAATGAGCTTAATGGAAGAACATGTTAAATGCCATTTTCATGATTTAACAAATGTCAGCTTAAGAACGTACAGAAACATCTGGAAATTGTTGATTACCAATAACAACGGCTTTTTTTTTTATATAGAGAGTCGACATAACATATTTTTCTACTAAAATCTTTGATATGTTAAGTGGAATTTTAAAAGCACTAATTTCCTGGTATAGAAACATGCTCAACTATAATTAAAATAACTATCTTTAGTTGTAAATAGGGAGTTAGAGATTATTTTAAATTTCATTTTCTATGTTCTTCCACTAAAACCTCTGGAAGAACATGTTGTGAGTCAGACATTTGACTGTTTACTGAAGAACTTGATTTCAGAATATATTAAGTGGCATTTAAAAAATACTCAAATTTCACAATATAAGAACAACATGCTTTTAGCAGCTATAAGTAAGTAAACATTCTTAAACTGTAATGAAACATAAAGTGTTTTAAGAATTTGTGTACTATCAGAAAGTCGCTTAACATGTTCTTCCAAAATTTTAACATGTTCTAAACTCTGTAGTAGAACATGTGAACCATTAAGAACTGTTTTTTAGAGACTTGGCTGAGCTCATTATAGATCTTAGGGAAAGAGTATGTTAAGTGACATTTTCTGGTTTGTAAACATGTTATGGTCTACTACAAGCAAATTAACTTTATTTATATCCGAACATAAATTGTTCTATAAAATAGAAATTTGAGTTTCTTTCAAAATGTACATGTTCTTCCACTAAGCATTCTGACATTAATGTTTACTTTTAAACAACTTCAAAAATAGCTATAACCAAATTAATTGTCATATACTAAGTGAAAGAACAGGTTAAGTGAAATTATAATGCATTTCTGAAAATTAGCTTTATATTGCGGAAGCATAGTTAAAGAATACATTGAATGGCATTTTAATCAGTTTTTGAAAATCTGATATACGTTGTATAGAAACATAAATAAACAATTGACATCTTATAGAAAACTACCCCGTCTAGGACTTACCACAATAAACTAACCTTCTTCATTTATAGCGTACCTTAAGATGTTTTAAGGTTGTTTTTCGAAGGCTCCGTCGTAGTATGAAATTATGCTTTTTTGCGAATAATATGCTATTTTTGTAACTGCTGAGAGTTTGCAACTGTTACTTATGACTAGAGCCCGGATTTTGATGACCTAAAAAATCTCAACTAATGCCCTTAAAAAGTGCAAAAAATGCCCTTAAAAATGCAAAAATTGCCTTAAATAAAGTAAAAATATTGAATTAAAAAAATGTTTTGCTCTTTAAAATTATTATGAGTCATTTACAAAATATAAAGCAATGCAATACTTGTTCTACGTTCACTAAAGTTTGAAAAATATGTTTTATATCCTAAAATAACAAAAAAAGGAAAATATATTGACACCAAAATATTTTTCTTTTGTATAGAAACTTTGATGGATATAACACCAAAATATTAGTAACATAATATTACTAAATATCAGAATTGCATTGGATTATTAAATGTTTTTTGATAATTTGAAATGTAAACGAGCGTCTCTTGTCTGAAAGTAAATTTTCATTCCTGCAGAAGCTTCTTTCAACGTCTACTGATGTTATAGGTGTGTACTTGAAAAAGACGGTCTCACTTACTGACAATTCTTCTTCAATTTGAAAAGATTTTGCTTCACCTGTTAATATCCTATAGATTTTCTTCATTGTTTGAAAGCCAGTGTAATATTGAAAATTGATAAAAAATAATAAAAATTGGAAAAAATTAACAGAAAACTTTAAAAAATGCATTAAAATGCAAAATACGCCCCAAAATTTAAGGAAAAATGCCCTATAAATCTAAAAAAATGCTCTAAAAGACAAAAAATGTCCAGAAATGCAAAAAAATGCAAATGTCATCAAAATCCGGGCCTTACTTATAACTGTTAGGACAAGTTTAGCCTATCTAAAGCCAGAGCTGTCTACGCTTATTTTTAAAATGGCGCACAACGTCCATATGGAAAAAAGCCAGTTTTGTAAAAATGAAAAGCGTTACCTGGACTCATAAAAATTTGCAAAAACTGAGAGAATACAGCAGTGATTTTGATCATTTTCATCTAGGTGGAAAAACGTCGTCAAATTGGCGACTTTTAAAAAAGTTTAATAACTTTTAAAATATATAAGTTATTTGTCTGTGCTAAATCCCAGATAATTCTTCGCGGCAAGATTATATATATATATAGTTTAAAATCATCGCCTTGCTTCAAGTGTAAGGCACTTAAACTATGGCTTTTTTTTTTTTTCATTTTCCTTGGCGACAGAGCTTCGAAAAATAGCGTTAAAATCAAAAAATGTGTTTTCGAATTGCCATTTAACATGCTCTTCCACTATGTTCTCAGAATAAAAATTTTTTAAATTTAACTTTCTCTGTATACTTTTCCCTCATAAAACAAAGTATATAGTATTGTTATTTTATATTCAATCATGGAATAGCTATATACCCATTCTATGTACTATATTCTACCCATCTTCTTTGGGTAATTTTCCCTATATAATTGCATTTTTGTAATATGGCAACCTGCAATTGAGATTGAAATGTGCTACAAAAAAAAAAAACAGTTCATAATTAAAAAGTGTTTAGTGTATTTTATGTTTGTTTTTTATGTATAATAAAAAAAATGTTTTTAAGAAACAATATCTAGTGATATCTTTTTGGTGTGTTTGATGTTGCTCATTATACATATAAATATCATTTACCTCACACATGAACTAGAAATAAAACTTCCTATTGGTGCATTATAAAAAAAAAATTGTTTTATAGAATGAATTACTATAAGAGAAACGAAACCGTTCAAGAACCAAAATTTTTTCCATACTTGCATTATAAATATTTTTTTTTAATACAATGGTTTTCTTTGATAGAAACAAAACCATTCAAGAACTAAAATTCTGTCAATACATGCATTGTAAAAAAAATTTTGTTTGATAGAATGGTTTTGTCTGATAGAAACAAAACCATTCAATAAACTAAATTCTTTTCATCGATGCAATATGCAAAAATTGTTTGTGTCATAAATTGGTTTTCTCAGA